GGGCCGCGGGCACCGCGGTGAGCGCCTCGCGTCGGCCACCCGCCACGACCGCGGCCACCGTGCCCGCGCCGCCCCGGAGCTCCCACGGTGCACGTTTATTGCGCGCACTGCCTACCGCTCCCAGGCTGGTCTGAGCTCGTTTAATCCTCGCAACAGCCCAGATGAGGCAGGAGCTCTAATTATCCCCTTTTTCCTGGGTGAGGGAAACTGAGCCACAATGCCCAGTATTCTCATCTTTGCGCGGTACCAATAATTCCCGAACTTCACGACTCTTCTCTTCTCTTCTTCAGTGACTCCTCCGATCCCTAGACTCGAGGAACAATCTAAGCGTCTCAAACAGGCGTTTCTGGACCTCCCCGGTGTCTGGTCAATAGACTCTTCTTGAGGGTGGGGTTTTTGTCTGTCTTGTTTACCGCTGTGTCCCCGACGCCTTAACCAGGTCGGCACACAGTAGGTGCTCAATAAATACCTGGAGAGTGAATGATCCTGGACCATCTTGCTGCGCACCATGGGAGTCATTTCCCACTCTCACCCTTTGCTTCTCTTGTGCTCCTAGGCCGCCAGCCCTTGCCTGTCCATAGCTATGACCCCTGAAAGCGGCACCCTGCCACTCCTCCGCATACGCAGCCTGCCCTCAGCCGCTCAGGGCTGGTGACTGGGCAATGGGCAGAGTGGGGCTAATGCAAGTCAGCTCCCTCCTGACCTATGGTCCCTTGGGGCAGAGGCTCTTCTCTTCCTCCTCCCACCCCCATCGCCCTTGGCTGAGCACAGTGCTTGAGCACAGTGCTTAAGTGTTTGTTCACTGAATCCCAGATGCTTGGGCTCTGTCCATATCTCACTCAGTGCTTCCTTCTCCACATCCTAGAGGTCTGGCCCTGAAGGGGTTCGGTGGCCAGTGACTGCCTGATGAACAGTGACACTATCTATTTAGCACCTGGCCCTGGCCCTGAGGGAGGCCCATAAATACTTGCTGAATGACCCAATGAGCCGCCAGTCTACCCATTAGGCAGGAAGCTCCTTAAGCGTGGGGACAGGGCCTTTTTCACCCTTTATCTCCTAACCCACCCTTCAGCCCCAGCCTGGCACCACAGAGAGCTCAAGATGCCTGCTGAATGACTGAATGTGCGAGACGGCCCAGGTTTCCTGGGAGAGTTCAACTACTGGGTTAGAAGAGGCAAGACGACATAGTGAGGGTGGGGGGACGGCGTGGGATGGTGATCCGGGTGGGACAGGGGTTTTAGAGGTGGAATGGGTGGGGGGGCCGGAGTGGGTTGAATGCAATGGGGGTGGGATTGGGGGAGGACGCAAGTGAGCCGAAGTGGGGTGGGGCTGCCCTCTCTTCCCCCTTCCACTTCCTCAGCGGGTCCCGGGCTGCTCAAACGACCCCCGCCCGCCTCCAGTCACGGCCGCCCCCCTCCCTCCGCGCCGGCGCGCACCTGCAGCGCTAGACAGCGCGCGTCACTGCTCTGCAGCGCGGCACGCAGGTCCTCCACCAGCTCGCGCAGGCTGCTGTTCTCCTCCTCCAACCGCGCCAGGCGCTCGCCGTCCCGGCCGCCGTCGGGGCCGC